CGCTGCAAAACCCACTACAGGTGCGAAAAATCTAGTTTCTCAAAATAAATTGTCGAATATCTTTCAAATATTCGCAAAACCACCCAAAAGTTGTCACATTCTCCGCCTCGGCCGGGTATTTTCATTGAAAGACGGTTCCGATCAGTGTTTTGATGGCAATGCTGCCCCTACGCGCATGAGAATTTGATTCGCAAACGAGGCGCGTCCTCCTGTCGAATCCAGAGCTCCGAACTCTGTCTGCTGCCCGAACTAGGTCCGCGAAACTATTTGTATTGTTCGAGTCATCCTGAGAGGTGCTGTGGGTTTCCTGCACTTAGTTCGGGCTGTAGGGGGGCTGCAGCGCTGCTAATCACAGGAATCGATTTAGAGACATCAGACGCGTATACAGAGGTCTGAACTCGGTCTGATACTCGAGCTAGGTTCGCCAAACTATTCGTATTGTTCGAGTCATCTTGAGAGGTGCTGTCGATTTACGCACGTAACTCGGGCTGTACGAGAGCTACAGAGCTTGTACAGAAACAATCCAGAAGCAGCGGGGGCGTTCGGCTGTTGCATTGGAGAGGTCTGAAATTGCTTGGGCTGAAAAATTATTTTTCTGTGTAATTTTTTTCGACATTACATGTTGTGAGGAAGCTCTACGAGTCCCCCAGCGGTAACACAGGTTGACGGTTCACCGCCGGCGCCCATTGGCCGACCCGGCCAGAAAGGACAAAGTGATAGCTTTGGGTGGTTTTGCGAAAAATTGAAGCATGTTTGACAATCCATTTTGAGAAAGCCTCGTTTCGCACCTGTAGTGGGTTATGGCGAGTCTGCCAGTAAAATTTTCAGGTCCGTAGCCTTGGGGGAACCGTCTTTGGATAAAAACAGAAAAACGTGTTTTTTCGAGTTTTGTGTTTCTCGCTCCAGAAGCTTTCTCCATGTGTTCCGACGATCGCCGTGCAAGAAAAGAGCTCTACGAGGTTCCCGGCGGTGACCAGGTTGACGGTTTACCGCTGGTTCCAGTCTCCAAAGGGTCTCTTCGCTCTCCGGTTTTTGGACGCTACCAAGTTTGACAATTTTTTTTGAGAAACCAGATTTTTCGCACCTGTAGTCGGTTTTGCCGCGTCTGCCAGTAAAATTTTCAGGTCTATAGGTACAGTCAAAAGACTTGGGGGAACCGACGTTGAGTAAAAGCAGAAGAACGTGTTTTTTTGAGTTTTTTCTTTCTCGCTCTAGAAGCTTTCTCTCCGTGTTCCGACGATCGCCGTGCAAGAAAAGAGCTCTACGAGGTTCCCGGCGGTAGCCAGGTTGACGGTTTACCGCCGGTTCCATGGTGACTTTTGGGTGGTTTTGCAATTTTTTGAAAGATATTTGACAATTCATTTTGAGAAAGCAGATTTTTCGCACCCGTAAACGACCATGAGGACTTCTCTGTCTTAGTATGAGCTCTGTAGACGCACTTTTACTATCAAAACACTTGGCGGAACCATCTTTATGTCGACACGGACAAATCATTTTTTTTTCGAGAAATGGTTCCAGAAGCTCTCTCTTTCGACTCCGAGCACTCTTACGCGTGAAATGAGCTCTACGAGGTTCCCGGCAGTGACCAGGTTGACGGTTCACCGCCGGCGCCAGTTCGGACGCGCTGGAGAGCTAGTTAGCAAGAAAAATCCCGACGGAACTTTTGGTGACTTTTGGTCGGTTGAAAATTTTGTTCTCGAAATTCAACAATTCGTTTGAGCTCTAGTATTTTTCCCGTGATGTTCGATCTTACTCCCGCTCGCCATCTTGGTCTCAGCTCGATCGGGTGACTATTACTATCGAAAAGCACTGTGGCGGGATCGGCCGTTTTGAGTCATCTTGATACGCGCTGACGGTTTTCTGAACATAAATCGAGCTTTAGGACAGCTACAGAGCTGGTAAGCACAGCTAATCGATGTAGAATGATTAGGCGCGTTCGCATGTTGAATCCAGAGGTCTGAACCCGGTTTGCCTGACTTTCGTGCTTCGCCCGAAGTCGTTGTCCCATGCTGCCGCCGTTCTCTGTCAGCCGTACAGGCGGCCAAGTGCGAGAAGATTGTCTGTTCTCTTGCAGCGACCCTCGCTGGGACGACGCAGGATTCCACCAAATGGCGAATTACTCTAAGCACGGCATCTATGCGCTCGTTTGGGTGAAAGTACGATACTTGAGGGAGAGGGCCGCAGCTGGCGGACGGCTGCCCTATTGCCGAAAAGACGTTCCAGCGCGAGAGCTCTGGTTTGGCGCGCCTTCGCTTGACCAGCAGCTGTTCCGTCTGATAGATCACTCCGCAGGAGATCAGCATCCAGACCCAGAGGGTAAAGGATTGCAGAGTTTTGTGATTGCGCTTGAGCAGAACGATGCGGAAGACAATGACTTGGCGTTCATTCGATACTGTTGCATGTTCAATGACTTGTTCAAGAAGCCGACGCCAAAGATATTCGGGGGAAGGGGGGCAAATTTGAGCCCTTTTGAAGCCGCGATGACTGAAGACATTGTCAAATATGTCCTTCCTCGTTTGGCCAAGTGTTCACGATGCAAGGTATTTCTGTCGCCTCTGACTAGCCAGGCCGGAGCCTCAGTTGTGGAATCTGGCTGGAATATGTTCAGGATCTTCTTGGCTGCTTACTGCCAGCGTCTGATCTATCCCAAGGGCAACGGCTTCGAGGACCATGCGGAAAGGATTAGGCAAGCCACTGACCCTGGGCGCTTTGCCGATGTCAACAAGTTGTTCACCAAAGGCTCTGGAAACCTTGTCCTGGATATCGCGAACGGCGAATTATGGTTCAACAATGATGCTGACAGGAGCAAGGTTCTGGGTTTTTTGAAAGGCTCTTTCCAGCTCATGCCTCCGCCGACGATAGACGCGACGGGATTCCATTGCTTCTGCGAGCGGTCGCAGCTAGCATGGCTCTACGTGCGTTTGGTACGGCAGTGGGTCAATGATGATGGACCCATCCCGCGCCGCCAGGAATTACCTTGTGGCTTTTTCATCATCGGCACGCCGCCTCCAGGGTGCCGCAAGTTTGTTGTGTCTCATGGCTGGGAGACTGAATTACACCCTTGCCCAGGCAGCGGCAAGATGCGGCGACTCGCATGCGTTCTGAACAGCCTGGGTGCAAGCGACGATGACGTTTTATTTAATCGCTTCGCTCATTCCGCCGGCCCGTATTGTGCCATCGCAGGCGTTTGCTTGCGCGTTCGTGGCCTCTGGGAGCCTCGGTGGGGCCGTTTGGGGCCTCTTGGCGCCTCTTTTTAGGCCACTTGGAGAACTCGGGAGGCCTCCAGGGGGCCTCCTGAGCTCTCGTGACGGTCTCTTGGGGGGCTTTCGGCGGGCTCTTGGCGGTATTTGTTGGTCCTCTTGGGGCCTGGGGCCTGACGTTGTTGGTCCTCTTGGGGCCTCACGGGAGCTTATTGGGGCGTCTTGGGGGTGTCTTGGAGAGTCTCTTGGGGCCTCTTTCGGGGTCCTGGGCGCCTTCTGGGGCGGAGGGCTCGATTTTTCAGTTCTCGGTTCCCTTCTTGAGCCCCTCTTGGGCCCGTCTTGGGGCCTCTTGGTCCGCCTTGGGCAGCACTTGGGCCGTCTGGGGGGCGCTCTTGGGCCGCTCCGGGGCCGTCTTGGGAGCCTCGTGGGCCGTCTTGGAGCAGTCTTGAAGGCCTCTTGGGCCCTCTTGGAGCGTCCGGAAGCGAAAAGGCCAGAACGCAAACAAACATCGAACAAAACCACTGAAAATCAACGATTTTGGCAATTTGGGGCCCTCTTCGGAGGCCTCTTGGAAGGCCCTTGGGGCGTCTTGGAGGCCTCTTGGGCTGTCTTGGGGCCATCTGGGGCGTCTTCGGGCGATCTTTGGCCGTCTCGGGCCTCTCTTGGACCGTCTAGAAAGCTTCTCGGGGCCCTCTTGGACCGATCTGGAGCCCTCTTGGACTCCGAAACAGAACTCCGGCATCTCTGACCCGACCTTGCCGGGGACTTGCCGGGGACTTGCCGGGACCTTGCCGGGGTACTTTTCGTCCGGGGACCCCCAGGGGCCGCCCCGCGCGCGCGAACTAGAAATACTGTTAACCAGGTACCGGAGATCTTAGCACGCCCTGGCCCGTTGGGCCGGCGAATTTGAGAGGCTTACACCATTCCGCCGCCCCCCACCCCGAAAGAGGGAAGATATGTCCACAGGTGAATTCGTTATTTGGGAAGTCCTCTTGCATGAGAAGAAAGTTCTTGTGGTGAGTGCGCGGAGGCAAGATGGTAATGAATACGACGACGGTCCAGACGCGAAATTCACGAGCATATGAAGCAGGAGCCGCTGTTCCTTGAATGTGGGTCTGAAGCCTTTAGTATGCTCGCTTCGATCTCGTGGGAGGCTTCTCGATACCCTCTGGAAGGCAGGATCGAAGCGTTTTGGGCCCGCTTGGGTGCTCCTTTTGGGCCTTTTTGGAGCCCCTTGGAGCTTAGTTGAAGCATCTTCGGGGCTTCTTGGGACAGGCGCACCAAAGTTTCGGTTCGTGCTCGCGCTCTTGGGCCCCTTGTTGGGCCGTCTTGGAGGATTTTGTCCTGTCTTGGGCCCCTCTGTGGCTCGTCTGGGAGCCTTTGGGGGCCGTCGGTGAGTCGTCGGGGGAGCCTCTTGCACAAGATTCAGGTGAATTTTGGGGCTTCTGGGGCCATCGTGGAGCGCAGGAAGAACGAAAAGGCGAGAACAACGTCTCTATGGGAAAACAAAAGGAAGTGCAACAATTATCGCATCTCGGGGCTCTCCTGGCAAGGTTCGTGGGCCTTCTGTAAAGCGATTCGAAGGCTTCTTAGGCCGTCTTGAGGCCGTCTCAGGCGCCTTCGACCGATCGTTCGGCGATTCAGGACCGTCTGGGGGGTTCTAGAATGCAAATGTTGCGGTTCCGGAGGCGTTTGGGAGCTCGGGTTCCCCCCCCCATGGAATCGTATTTTGGACCCCTAGGGGAGGGGGAAAGGGGGAGGGGGACAGCCAGATATCTCACACGCCGTTCCACGGGCAAGCGGTGGTCGGCGGATTTTTCGATTTCTGCTCGACTTCACAGGCAAGTGAAATGGGTTACGAATACAAGCGAGACCAAGGATGGAGTGGCGCGCCCGCTCGGGATGGAACTTGCGGGCCGTACTTTGAGAAATATGAAGATAGAGTCGCTTCCCTCTTCCCGATCGTACCAATGAGCAGCGGAAGGAGTTCAATTATGCCCTATGGGAAATGAACCGCTTATCCAGTTGCGCTGCCGCGCATATCCGCCACTGCGCTCGTGGAAGCAATGTAGCTCAGCAGTGGCGGGGAAAGGTAAGCAAGGCAGTGCTAGGCAGGAGGCTCCCATACTGTCTTGGAGGGCACCACGGCGGCCCCAGAGGGCACCAAGGTGGCCCAAGGGGGGTTCCGCAGACTCGAGACGACTAGTTCTGGGGCTCCTCGGGGGGCAGTTTAGAGGCATCTTGCAGGCTTCTTGAGGGCGTCTTGGAGGCATTTGTTTGACCTCGTGGGAGCCTCTGATGGGCGTATGTTGGGGCCTCTTCGGGTTCTCTCTGGGCCTCTTTGGGGCCACTAGGGGCTTTCTGGGGGCGTCTTGGAGCCGAAAGCTCGATATCTCAATTTTTTCCCAACCCTCCTGCGTTGAGTAGTTACTCGTTCCCAACCCTCCTGCGTTGGGTTCTCGTTTTGAATAGAGCACCGTCTGCGCGTCTTCTCTTTCCCGCCCCTCTCTTCCTCTTCTTCTCCCTCCTGCCTCTTACCTGGCTTCTTCCTGCGTGCCAGCGTGCCTCCTTCTTGCGTGCCAGCTTGCCTCCTACCTGGTCATCCCTTGGGGGCTGCGATCTGCCAAACTATCGCCACTTTCGAGGGCTGCTGAGGGGGCCAGCATAGTGGGCACCCGCCGCAGACTCAGATTAGACCTCACCACTCTTGGGGGGCTGCGATCTGCGACACGGTCGCCACTTCGAGGGCTGCTGAGGGGCCCAGCATAGTGGGTGCCCGCCGCAGACTCAGACTGGACCTCGCCATCCCTAAGGGGCTGCGATCGGTGAAGCAGTCGCCACTTTCGAAGGCTGCTGAGGGGCCCAGCATAGTGGGTACCCGCCGCAGACTCATATTAGACCTCAGCATCCCTGGGGGGCTGCGATCTGCGAAACTGTCGCCACTTTCGATGGCTGCTGAGGGGCCCAGCATAGTGTGTACCCGCCGCAGACTCAGATTAGACCTCGCCATCCCTGGAGGGCTGCGATCGGTGAAGCAGTCGCAACTTTCGAGGGCTGCTGGAGGGCCCAGCATAGTGGGTACCCGCCGCAGACTCAGATTAGACCTCGCCATCCCTGAGGGGCTGCGATCCGCGAAACTCTCGCAACTTTCGAGGGCTGCTGATGGGCCCCGCATAGTGGGTACCCGCCGCAGACTCAGATTCGACCTCGCCATCCCTGGGGGGCTGCGATCTGCGAAACTGTCGCCACTTTCGACGGCTGCTGGAGGACCCAGCGGAGTGGGAACATATTCGGACTCAGATTAGACCTCGACATCCCTGGGGGGCTGCGATCTGCGAAAGTGTCGCCACTTCCGAGGGCTGCTGGAGGGCCCAGCGGAGTGGGGTCATACTCAGACTCAGATTAGACCTCACCATCCCTGGGGGAGGGGGCGAGGGGCTGCGATCCGCGAAAGTGTCGCCACTTTCGAGGGCTGCTGGGGGGGCCAGCGGATTGGTGTCATACCCAGACTCAGACTAGACCTCGCCATCCCTGGGGGGGGGGGCGCGATCTGCGACACTGTCGCCACTTTCGAGGCCTGCAGGGGGGGGGCCAGCGGAGTGACGTCATGCGCAGATTCAGTTTACCACCCCATTCCATCCTTCTCCTGCCCCTCGTTCCCGTCCCTGTTATTTTCCAAGCCTGGGGCCTCAATCCTCGTTCTTTCGATCGTCGTCCTGTGGGTCGTGCAACGCATGCGCATCTCACGCAGTTTGCACCACAATTCACCGCGCCTACATTGTCGTTGTTCTTGCTAACGTTGGCCAGCTATTCTTGCCACTTGATGCACATGGGTCGGGTACGTCGCAGTGTAATTTTGAATAGCGCATTGCGGTCGCGTCCTCCCGCCCCCCCCCTTCCTCTCTTCCCTCCTGTCTTCTTCCCTCTTGCCGCTTGCCTTTTCACCTCGCTCGTCGCTGCGTGTCAGCGTGCCTCCTAGTCATCTCTGGCGGGCTGCGATCTGCGAAGCTGTCGCCACTTTCGAGGGCTGCTGGAGAGCCCAGCGGAGTAGGGACATATTCGGATTCAGATTACACCTCGACATCCTTGGGGAGGTTGCGATCTGCGAAACTGTCGCCACTTTCGAGGTCTGCTGAGGGGCCCAGCGGACTGAGGACATATCCGGATTCATATTCGACCTCGACATCCTGGGGGGGGGGAGCGATCTGCGAAAATGTCGCCACTTTCGAGGGCTGCTGGAGAGCCCAGCGGACTGGTGACATATTCGGATTCAGATTAGACCTCGACATCCCTGGGGGGCTGCGATCTGCGACACTGTCGCCACTTTCGACGGCTGCTGGAATGCCCAGCGGAGTGGGGACAGATTCGGATTCAGATTAGACCTCGACATCGTGGGGGGGCTGCGATCTGCCAAATTGTCGCCACTTTGGAGCGTTGCTGGAGGGCCCAGCGGAGTGGGGACATATTCGGATCCAGATTATACCTCGACATCCCTGGAGGGCTGCGATCGGTGAAGCAGTCGCCACTTTCGAGGGCTGCTGAGGGGCCCAGCGGAGCGTGGACATACTCGGATTCAGATTCGACCTCGACATGCCTGGGGGGCTGCGATCTGCGAAATTGTCGCCAGTTTCGAGGGCTGCTGGAGGGCCCAGCGGAGTAGGGACATATTCGGATTCAGATTACACCTCGACATCCCTGAGGGGCTGCGATCTGCGAAGCTGTCGCCACTTTCGAGGGCTGCTGGAGAGCCCAGCGGAGTAGGGACATATTCGGATTCAGATTACACCTCGACATCCTTGGGGAGGTTGCGATCTGCGAAACTGTCGCCACTTTCGAGGTCTGCTGGGGGGCCCAGCGGACTGAGGACATATTCGGATTCAGATTCGACCTCGACATCCTGGGGGGGGGGGGTGCGATCTGCGAAAATGTCGCCACTTTCGAGGGCTGCTGGGGGGCCCAGCGGACTGGTGACATATTCGGATTCAGATTAGACCTCGACATCCCTGGGGGGCTGCGATCTGCGACACTCGACGGCTGCTGGAAGGCCCAGCGGAGTGGGGACAGATTCGGATTTAGATTCGACCTCGACATCGTGGGGGGGGCTGCGATCTGCGAAATTGTCGCCACTTTCGAGCGTTGCTGGAGGGCCCAGCGGAGTGGGGGCAGATTCGGATTCAGATTAGACCTCGACATCCCTGGAGGGCTGCGATCGGTGAAGCAGTCGCCACTTTCGAGGGCTGCTGAGGGGCCCAGCGGAGCGGGGACATACTCGGATTCAGATTCGACCTCGACATGCCTGGAGGGCTGCGATCTGCGAAATTGTCGCCAGTTTCGAGGGCTGCTGGAGGGCCCAGCGGAATGGGGACATATTCGGATTCAGATCAGACCTCGACATTCCTGGAGGGCTGCGATCTGCGAAATTGTCGCCACTTTCGAGGGCTGCTGGAGGGCCCAGCGGAGTAGGGATATATTCGGATTCAGATTAGACCTCGCCATCCCTGAGGGGCTGCGATCTGCGAAGCTGTCGCCACTTTCGATGGCTGCTGGAGGGCCCAGCGGAGTGGGAACATATTCGGATTCAGATTAGACCTCGACATCCCTGGGGGGCTGCGATCTGCGAAGTTGTCGCCACTTTCAAGGGCTGCTGGAGGGCCCAGCGGAGTGGGAACATATTCGGATTCAGATTCGACCTCGACACCGTTGGGGGGGCCGCGATCTGCGAAACTGTCGCCACTTTCGAGGCCTGCTGGGGGGGCCAACGGAGTGGGGTCATGCGCAGATCCAGGTTAGACCTCGCCATCCCTGGGGAGGCTTCGACTTGCGAAACTGACGCCACTTTCGAGGCCTGCAGGGGGGGCCCAGCGGAGTGACGTCATGCGCAGATTCAGATTACCACACCATTCCATCCTTCTCCTGCCCCTCGTTCCCGTCCCTGTTATTTTCCAAGCCTGGGGCCTCAATCCTCGTTCTTTCGATCGTCGTCCTGTGAGTCGTGCAACGCATGCGCATCTCACGCAGTTTGCACCACAATTCACCGCGCCTACACTGTCGTTGTTCTTGCTAATGTCCGCCAGCTACTCTTGCCACTTGATGCGCATGGGTTGGGTACGTCGCGGGGTAGTTGTTTGTCTATCTCTCTCTCTCTCTGGCCCCCTCTTTGGCCCGTCTTGGGGCGTTCTTGGCTCGTCTTGGGGGCGTATTGAGTTGTCTTGGAGCCCTCTTGATTGGGGTCTCTCGGGCTTGTCTTCGACGCTGGGAAAGCGCAACAAGCGAATATGCTAAAATTGTTAACCGAAGGGGATGGGTGGATTTGTATTTCTCGGGGCTCTCTGGGGAGGCCTCTCGGGAGTTAACGCTCTTGGAGCGTCTTGGAGGCTTCTGGAGTTGTCTTTGGATCATCTTGATTGTTTTGGCGCAATTTTTATGTGATTCTGGGCCTTCTTGGGCCGTCTTGCGGCTCTCTTAGCCAGTTATGAAGCTTTGTCGTCCCGCTTCGGCCATGGAAGCGAGAGGGCTTGGGAGGCGGGCGAGCGTTGGGGATGGGAGGATCCATTGCCCTTCCCTTCTGGGACTTCGTATTTGGGCACACTTGTCGGGAAGGCGCGAAACACGCAGGGACTTGGTGACAAACGCGAAAGCATCTGGAGCTCGGTGCGTCTGGTGGGCCTGATTGTTTATTCGCGAGAAGCAAAAGGGCCCGACACACACCTACTTCTGCAAGCGCGGTGGCGGATATTCTTTTCAAGAGTGCGAAGTTATCGTGCTTCCAGAGCTTGACGGTCCAACCTCATGGCCAGGGGGCATGGTTTGGGGCGTGGAAAACGACCGGCCTTTCCAGAATCGCGGATGGTGCTGCTCAGAGTTCGCAATTGCCCGCTACGCCAACCGCATCGTGAATTTGACAGATGCGGCGGTGCAGGCGGTTTTGGAAAGCCGAGACTGGCCAAGTGGTGATACAGTGGAATCGGGCAAGATGTATGCAGACATGATGCGGCTGACACATGACCAGGCAGAAGACGGCCAGGATGGCCTGACGTACAACCAGACGCTTGGGGTAAGTTTCACCAGTAAGGGTGACCGCACAGCCGTGCGTTACAATTTTTTCAAGATGACAATGCAAGCCTCCGACATTGGCCTGGATTAGGATGATGTGCGAGCCATATTCGGCCTGCGTGCGCGCTCATGAATCACCCGCAGGCCTTTGCGACATATCTTGTATACACGGGGAGCCGGGCCCCCGTGCCCGGGAGCGGCCCACTTTTCCCAATTTCCCCCCCCCGGTAACCCACTGTGTCCCTGGGGGTCCGGGACCCATTCGGATTTTTTTTGGGGGGGGTCAGGGGGGCTCAGAACCCGAAGGCGCTCACCAGACGGTCCAAGACGGTTCTGGCACGGTCCCAGAGTATTCCACAGCGGCTGCGTTGACTTCAAGACAGTCCAAGATGGCCCCAAGAGGCCCTCAAGATGCCACCCAAGAGGGCCACAAGAAGCAAAAAACGTATCATTCCCGTCGGAAAACGTACGTTTTGTTGCATCTTCGCCTCCTGCGTGTTCACAGCGTCCACAACGGCCCAAGAGGCTCCCGAGACAGCCCAGGAGGACTCCAAGACGGCCCAAGAAGGGCCCGAGACGGCCCAAGAGACCCCGTAGACAGCCCCAGAGAGCCTCGGGATAGGCCCAAGAGGGGTTTCGAAGCGGGACAACCAAGTTCAAATTTCGAGCCTTCCGCCCGAAGAGGCCCCCAAGAGGCTCCAAGAGGCCCCCAAGAAGACCGCAAGAGGCCCAAAGGGACCCCGAAGAGGCCCCAAGAGGCCCGAAGTCTGAGTCCAATGCAACCCCGAGAGGCTTCCAATATGCTTCCAATACACTCCCCTAGAGGCCCCCAAAACTGCCTCCAAGATGCTCGCTGCCCTCTCCCTCCTTTCTTCCTTCCCCTCTTCCCTCCCCTTCCTCCCCTCCCAGTCTCACCGATACAACTCTGGGTTAGTTTCGTATCGTTCACGTTCGTTTTTACTAGGAGTACGTTCTCCTAAGCAGTGGCGGAACCAGCTGCGTGTTAGCTCCGTTTGTGCAGTGGTTCTCCCTCCTTCCGTCCTTTTGCCCTCGCTCCCCCGCTTCGCTGCTGCCCCCCTCGCCTCGCGTCGCCCTCCTCTTCCCGCTTAGGCCGCGGCAGCGAAAACAATCACATTTTGTTGCCGCCGTTTTCTTCAGCATGCGTCAGGCGTCAGGGTTTGCTGCGCGGCTGGATGTTGCTGATGGACCCCCCCCCCGCCCCCCCCAACATAAATAAAAAATGTGGGAGGGGGAAGAGGTTCGATTCGAAAACGTCCAATCACATCCCCTCCTGGATCCTCGATGGTCGAGGGCACGCGCAAATTTGGGCAGGTTTAGCAATGTTTTTGTCGACGCAGACACCTGTTGCACGACGGCCAGGTAGGAGGCACGACAAGGAACGATCAGGAGCTCTGGGCGCAGGCGTGTAGGTACTCGCTGGCACGGAAGCCAGCGTGCTTTTGTCGGCGCCCGTATGCTGCTGGAACAGACCTTTGCGCCGCCTTGGGCGCGCCGCTTGGAGGGGGAAGGGTGTGGGGTAGGGGGAAGAGGTTCGATCCGAAAACGTCCAATCACATCCCCTCCTGGATCCTCGATGGTCGAGGGCACGCGCAACTTGGGGCAGGCTTAGCCATGTTTTTGTCGACGTCGACACCTGTTACACGACGGCCATGTAGGAGGCACGACAAGGAACGATCAGGAGTTCTGGGCGCAGGCGGGTAGGCACTCGCTGGCACGGAAGCCGGCGTGCCTTTGTCCCCGCCCGTATGGTGTTGGAACAGACCTTTGCGCCGCCTTTGGCGCGCCGTTTAAAACAGTGCCTCCACGATGCTCCAGATCGTTTACGTTTAAACAAAAGGTGATGGAGACCAATGGATGTCACGCTCCTTGATGGCGCCCGGGAGGGCCACGCGAGGCCAACTTCTTCGATTTCTTGTCGGTTGCTGAAGGGTTTCGATGTTCTCCCCTTCTAGAGCTTCCCGCGGTCAAGATGGCCCAGGGGGCTCCGACGACCGCCCCACGACGCCTTCTGCATCTGCCCCAAGCGTCCAAACAGGCCCAAGGTCAACACCAAGAGGTCACACAGTTCCCCGAGAGATCACTTGGCCTGGGGAAGCGCCCAACCCCATGCAGCTACGTGTAGCGCACGGCGTGGCTCTGTATTCATATGCAGTGCGCCGCGGGGCAGACTGGATAAGGGGCCGCTGCGGAGCTAGCGCGCATAGGCACGCTGAGCTCCCTGTGGGGCGCGATCCGCGTGAGGGGGTGGCCCCCGCGCGAACGCGCCCACCGAGGCCGTAGGCGGAGCTCCTTGTGGAGCGCGATCCGCCCCAAGCGGCTGTTAGCCCAAGGAAGGAGGGAGGCAAAACACCTGGATCGCCAAAACACCTGGATCGCGAACCCCCCACTTGGCGTAGGCCCCCTCCGTGGCATCCCACGCCCTTCCATTCCCTCTTCGTGCGCGCCTTGTGTTCCCAGAAGCCTTCCAAGACGGCCCAAGAGGCGCCAACAGGGCCCCGACACGCCCCCCGAAGAGCGCTGCAAGAGCCTAAGATAACCCATACGTGCCCTCAGCACTTTTCCAAGATAGGCCCTGGGCACCCTTTTTGGGATGGCCCTCTCGGTTCTTCGCTGATTTTAGGTCTAGGCAAGGTCTCAGGATGGAATCGTCCTGGGGCCAAGCGCACCACGAGGCCCTAGGATGCCCGGAGATGGCCAAGAAGAGTTTGGGGGAGTCCCAAGCGGCTACAATAGGCTCCCAAGAGGGCCTGACGACGCCACGAGAGACATTCACAACGGTCCTAAGAGCCCAAGACAATCACAGAGGGCCCAAGGCTCTCCCGAGGGGATTTTGGTGGAGTTTCTTCAAACGTGTCTTTGTCTCTTTGGGAACAGCCTTGGAACACCTTTCGTGATCGTCTTCGAGATTCGCAAGGAATTGCTGTGTGGGCTGGGTAGTTCTGCTGAAGCGTCAGTTGCAAATGTGCCACAGCAGAACCTAAGCGCGAGCGAAGCGCGCGCTTGGTTCTGGTCGAAATATGCGGTGGGACGCTTTACGAATCCTCCCAGTGGTGCCGTACGTGGAACTCTCAGTGGGGCACGTTCCATGTTAAGGGTGTGGCGAAAGGGGCGGAGAGGCACCATGGGAAATTGTCTCTGGTACCGTACCTGGAGCTCCCAGAGGGGAACGGTCCGTGTGAGGGGCGTCCCGAATTTGACAGGATGCCGCTATGTGAAGCCTGCTTTTCTCTGGGCCTCTAGGTGGCGCTCCCTGTGGGACACGATCCGTGTGGAGAGTGTGCCGAAATGTGCTGGTGGACGCTATGAGGTCCCTCCTCCCTCATGTCCCTTTTTCCGTTCATCCTCCGTCTACGCGCCCTGGCTTGAGTATTGTCTTTTCCTTCATTCTGCATGTGTCCTCGTTCTGTCCCTCCTCACTCTCGCCTACTCGTTCTTCTCTCCTTCTTCTCTTGATTTGCGAAAGAGACTCGATGGCACTTGCGACCTTCAGCCTGGTTTCCCCGGGATCCTTCTATGGGTTCCCCGTCCATGGGATCTCTGAGCTTCCTGGGGTCCGCGGTTCGATCGGCTCTTTGCATCATATTGCATTGTGTTGCGTTGCGTTGTTTTGCGGCGCACGTGCATGTGCATTGCTTAGTGTTTCACATTGCCCTAGTTCACATTGCTCTGTGTTGCCTTGAACTGTGCTTCATCGCATTGCCTTGCACTTGAGTCGCTCGCTTCTGCTTGCAATACTTCGCGCTCCATTGCCCTCGCATCCATTTTCCATGGCAACGTGCTGCTTTGCATTGCCATTGCATTGATTGTATTCTTTTCACCGCTTTGCATATCTTCGCATTCGATTGCATGGGAGCGTCCTTGTCGGTAATGTGTCTCTGCTCGGTCCACGTTGTTGACAGTTCTTCGCCTCATGTTCAAAGTTGTTGTAGGTAACCACTTAGGTGGGCTGCGGCCTGCTACAACCTAAGCGCGCGCGAAACGCGCGCGCGTGGTTCTAGTAGAACATGCAACATGGCAATCGCGGTTGCGGCAGAAAGCTGCCATATCGAAACACAGACTGATATCCGCCACCGTGCTCTGAAGCACAAATTCGAATGTCCTCAAGTCCTTCGCTTCACCTCCTGAACGTACTCTGTACTCACCTGGTGGATCCCAGGGGGGGGCGACCAAACTTGCCAAATGCCCTGGATGTTTCCGCGGCTCCTCTGAGCCCCGTCGACTCTTCTCGCGCGTCTGCTTCGAAACCAAGAGGTCCGAACACCTGGCCGAAAGGGCCTGCACGGGCGCCCGAGAGGGCCGCGAATCGCCGAGGGGTCACTCCAAGCCGTCCAAGGTGTCCCGAACAAAGACAGCTCAGTTCCGAGACGACGAGCCGGGCGCCGTCTCGGGGGACGCCGCCGCCGCCGCTGCCGCGCCGGACGCGCCGCGCGCCTGGTGGAAGCCGCCAGGCGCGGACGGGGCCGTGCCGCCCGCGGGCGTGGACATGCCGCCCGTGGACTTGGACGCGCTGGGCGCTGCTCTGGCGGCGTCGGACGCCGAGGGGCCCGAGCCTGGGCAGAGTCGCCGCGCCGTGCGCTCGAGGGTCGCCTGCTGCGTCTGCGCTCGTCTCCACTGGGCGGACGAGCTGCAGCGCGTGCACTTCTGGCAGCAGCCGGACGGCGCCGGGGAGCGTTCGCTGCTCTGCGACGAGGTGCCGAAGCGGCCCGCGCGCGCCGAGCTCGAGGCGGCGAGGGGAGAGGCATCCGAGGCCGCAGGCGCGCAGGCGCAGGCCATGCGCCTGACGCAGCGGCAGCGCGCCCACGCGCTGCTGGACCCGGCACGGTACCACGCCCGGTGGCGCTTCGTGCGCGAGGGCCCCGACGGCGTCGAGCGCCCGGGCGGCATCCCCCTCGAGGAGCTGGAGACGTCCGCAGTGCGCGACCCTGGCCCAGACGGGATCCTGTGGCTCTTGCACAAGAAGTGCTTCACGATTGACAGGCGCCAGTCAGACGGGGTGCTCGTGGCCGACGCGAAGCAGAAGGTGCCCATCTGTGCAGGGTGTCACGGCGCGCTCACGAAGAGGTTGCCCAC